AATTAAATCTAAAAATAACATATGTTTTAAGTGCATTTGATGGAAATGCCAATTGAAACTATCAAGGCATATGTTGTCTTTGAGTCTTTGCTAAACTAAATTATGTTTAGTTTGTGATACAGTACATGCTACCAGTAACAAACATGAACCAGCCATGTTTTCAAATCCTTATTCTTTTTTTGGCCCCGAACTTCTTTCTTCTTTCAGTTTTCCCTTTTATAATCTCAAGCCTAAATATCTTTGCTAGTGTAGCATTCGTTAGTGCATAGAAAGCTGGAGTTACTTGTCTAACTCAAAGACTCAGAGTGGCTTGCCATTTCAGAAGTAAAATCAAAGTCATACCTTGAACTATACCCTGAAAGAGTTCTCCAATATGATCTGTGGTTTAGTATTTACTACTTAGATATTATGACGGATGTCTGTGAGGTTGTCTGAATCCATTAAAACGTGGGTACCATTTTTCTGTGGTGTCATCCATCCGTTTATTCCTTTCCTTGTGGATGCTTTACTGCATTTGTGTACTCAAACATTCATGCTTGAGGTGTGGTCAGTGTGCCTTGGGAGCATACCTGAAAGAGTAATTGATTCCATGGGATCCAAGATTTCCTTCAGGAAATCTTCTAAAGGCCTAACATTGGAGCTAAGCCTTAAATTGAGGCTACTTTTCAGTGCCTAGTATAGAAAGGTTGGGGAAGGCAAGCCCCCAAGAAGGAATAATATGTATAAAGGCACTGGGGCTCCAGGTAAGAGCTTGATGAGAATTGGGGCATAGGGCAGTGTGTAGAGGGGTAGGGCAAAAGTGAACCTGGAAAGGCAGAAGGATAGCACTTGGTAGGCTCCTGAATGAAATGCTGAGGGATGTCTGTTCCTTTGGCTTTCTCAGACGACTATTGCAGATTGGAACAGATGCCCATTTGATCACAGTGACAAAATAGGCTGGGTTAGGACAGAGTTCTTAAATACATCTTATGCCATAAACATATCTTAAGGCTTCTTCCAGACTCAGAATGTCATGGTTGAAAGGGTCTTTCAGTGCCTTTGGTCTTGCTCCTTTGTTTTACAAAGGAAGCATCTGAAGGCTAATGAGGTTAAAGAACTTATTAGCTTATCTTTAATAGTAATTAAATAATAAAAACTGATGAATAAAATCATAATTCACTCTTTTAGACTGCTTGGATGAAAAATGAATTAATACGTGGTTATAACTGAGGAAAACTCTCATTCTACCTTTAAATAGCTCTTGTGACAGAATGAGTTTTCATAGGTAATATGGTTTGGTTCTCAGAATTTGAAGCACCCTCTTAAAATAGTGTTCCCTGTAACATAGGAATTTGACTGCTTCAGAGAAAATATGTAAAAGTAATGGTCACACTGTCTTTCATTTACTTGGCAATTATTTGCTGAGCTCAGACTATGTGTCATACTCTGCGCTGAACTGGGTATACAATTACAAGTTGAAGTCAACACAATCCTTCACCCATGGAGCTGACAGTCTATTGTAAAAGCCATCATTCCAAAACTTGCAAAAATAAAAGGTATGATTAAATAGAATGTGGTGCTGTGAGTACATGTAAGTTGGGGTGAAAGGCTGTGCATCAAGGAAAGATTCCCTGAGAAAGATATCACTGAGCTGGTATCTGAAGGATGAATGTGGGTTCATTGGTAAGGAGGTAAGGGAATAATATTCCTTGTAAGAGGAGTGTCATGCACAAAGTCCTTTCAGAGTGAATATAGCAAGAATATATTTACAGAAGGTCACTGTGACTGGACTATAGAATCAGGGTTGAGATGTACAGGATGAGACCTAAGGGAAGGGCAGGGCCTTACAAGGCTAAGGTAGTAATTTTTATATTATTCTTAGAGCTCTGATAAATTTAGGAGGAGGATGACATCATCCAATGTACATTTTCAAAAATACCTCTGGAATCTTGTGTGATAAATGAGTTGGAGAGGAAGTGGGCATAGACTCATTAGGAGATTGATGGAGAGGGCCAGGAAGGAGGTGATAACAAGGCCTGGGTGTGGGTGGGAGTAGAGACAAAGTATTTGACAAAGGCGATTTCCTGAGATATTTAGAAGACAAGATCATTGTGACATGGTAATGGGTGGGGGATGTGGATCAGGGTGTATGTGGATGGCCCATGGGTTTCTGATTTGTAATCAGTGGTTGGTGCCATCATTCAACAGAGAAGAGTAGAAGATAACTTTGGTTTGAAGGCATCTGAATGTAGGGAAGTTAAGTCTGATTCATTCCACTGTCTTTCCTATTCTCCACCCCTCTCTTGCCTTCATTCCCCTTTGTCTAATCCATTGGACTTGTATTCTTCCCCTCCCTGACCTTGTTGTGTGTTAACATCCACATATCAGAGAGAATATTGATTTTGGGGGGATTGGCTAATTTCACTTGGCATGATAGTTTCTAGATCTGTCCATTTTCCGGCAAATGTCATAAAGTCATTCTCATTTATGGCTGAGTAGATTAATATTTTAAAGTGGATGCTTGGAGAGAGAAATAGCTCAGATTTGGTTGCTGGAATATTGGAGACAATGAATTCAGTTGGAGGCACACTATGTTTTATGTTTAGATATTTAAACATCTGAATAGAGATGCACTCATTGAAGTTTGTCAATAGCTTGGGGCACAGCTCAGACTAGAAAGTTGGAAATATATCAAACTCGAGAGAATGTTGAAAGTCTTGGAACTCTTTCCATCTAGGGAGAATGTATATGGATAAAGGGAAAAACTATTAACAACTGAGGTGTTTTTAAACTGAATTATACAAGGTAATATAGTAAATTATTTCAGATAGATGTCTTATGTAATTCCCTACTACCTTTTAACAGTACCTTCATTATTGCCTGAATTTGCCCAATAACCCTATGGAGATTCGGAAAGGTTGGTACCTTGACCAAGGTCACACAGCTAATAAGAGGTGAAATTGGGGCTTGAACCCACGTGTCATAATGCCACTCTCAATGCTGTTTTCCTCTATCCCATCCTTTCTACTGTAGCACCTTGAGGATAGAACCATGGATAACACCAGCATTTAAAAGATGGGCTAAGAAAGGTGGTCTAGAGAAGGCTAGAGGATGTGGGACAAGCAGTAGACGACTTATGGAACACAGTGCACTGAAAGGCAATGTGAATGTGACCACTGTGAGGGGTCTGGATACTTCACAGCAGTTTCATAACATAATGTAGTCTGGACCCAGTAGGTTGAGGCATGATGGGAAGGTGAAGAAATGAAATTCACAAGTTCAAGGTGGTGAGCGGCGAGGGGCAGGGCAACCAGCAGCAGGAGAGGTATTCCTTGGGTGTACAAGGGATTCTATGTGTGGTAAGAGCTGCATTTAAAACTGGGTTGGGAAGTCCATGCACTAGATGTCTCAGAGCAGCATTCACCTTGCCCCATGTTGAACCAGCTGGTTGAGAAAGACATAGAAAGTTTCTATGAGTTTAGAAAGACAATTCTGGGTACAAGTTTATTTTGAAGTCTTTTAAACTGATCAATCTACTGTCCAGTTGGTGATCTCTTATAAGAAGTTTTCTGAAAGTTACATTGAGTAATCGTTCAAGATGCATAGACTCTTTTGATTATTTTTCGAGCAAACATCTTGCACACTGATATGAGGCAATGTGGTATTTATGGTTATAGTTAGAAAATGACATCATAAATTAGTGCTTGTCTGAAATGTTCTAAATTGGTTCCTACGTGGTTATTTTCATCCATCTTATGGTACTTTGGGTTGCGTTTTTCTGTCCCGTGTTTTGATCTCCACTGTTAATTTTGTTTTGAGATCATGAAAGGGCTTGAGACTTCTCTAAAAGCCCATTACTTATTGGGATGTTTTGATTTTTGATAGATTCAGGTGTTCCTTCAAATACATTTCAAATACATTCCCAACAGTCACAGAAACTTGCTTTGAGGACTGGGGTTTTATCTAAACCCTGCTACCCAAAACAAAATTCTAAAAATTACTTAATTTTTTTTTGTCTTTTAAAAAAATCCTTTTTGTCTGCTGTGAATTACAAGTTGATTTCAGTGTCCATAGTGTTTCATAGTAGATGTCCTGTCTCTATTTGTGTGCTGAGATATATTTTCCTTATTTCTCCATCCATCTTTATGACTTGAGCTTTTACTGTCCAAGAGAGAATCACTGAACATCATTCTTTCTATAATTCCTGAAGTTGTTGTCTGGGGATGACTAATCCATGCATATCCTGTCTGTAGGTAGCATGTATTCTAGTACCACCCCTCCCCCCCCCCCCCCGCCTATTTTTCCTGAGAACAATCTAAACCATTAATCTATAACTAATGGTGACCTCCCATTCCAAATGATATGAGAGCTAAGGCATGTGGGGATTGTGGTGGCTGTGTCTTTAGTCCTAGGGGAGGGCTCAGTCATTATTAAATAAAATGTCACCGTTGATTGCTACCACAGGAAGACTGCTTTTAAGCCGCAACCTTGACAAGGTCCTTGGGGACATGGTAGCAAATAGATGCAGTCCCGTCTCTTGAAGGGTTTATAGTCTAGGGAAAGGACATCTGCTTCAAAAAGTGTAGAAGAAAGGAAAACCAAGCTTAATAATGAGTAAAAAAAATGTATTTATTACATGTATTTTCAACTAAAATGTCAGGTACCTGGATTGACCAGGGAATATAGCAGTGCCCTAGAGACACAAGCCCTCACAGACCTCTTTAAGAAATACCTTTGCTTATACGTAATTGGGCAATAGACTTGATGTTTTGTATACTATAATAGTAGATTCTACTTTGAAATGCATGTTTCTAATGTTTATTTCACTAAGAACTTGGCAAACTATATAAGCAATGATTTTCTGTAAAATTATATAAAAGTAAAATGACAGCAGCTTCTAGCTATTAAAGTGACTTCCTGTTCACATTCATTTTTTCTAGTCAATAACATTTAATTGTAAGCAGTATAACTGGCTGTAAGTGACATGATTGCCTTCATATATTCTATGTCATTTCTTACAGTTATTGCCAGTTTTCGAGGAACTGTCCCATATGGCCTGTCATTGGAAATTGGGGACACAGTTCAGATCCTGGAGAAGTGTGATGGTGAGTGGCTGATGATGATTGTTTGAGGTCACATGAAGTTTACAAATTTGTTTTTTCCTCTGTTAATTTCTGGAAATTTTCCAGTAGTTAACAGACAACTGTTTTTGGCAAAACTTGTTTCTTGTGCATTGAATATTTGGCTTATGGAATAGCAACATTTGGTATTTTTAAAGGTGATTATGTTTTTTCCTAGTATTATTTCCTTGTAGTCAATATATGGCAAAATAGAAAGCAATAGAAGCTACTCTGTTTGTGGGAGTTCATGACTCAGTGCCAAACAAGGAGGCTTTTCTCAGAATCTCAAGAGTCTAGCACATCCCCTCCTGCCTTTGCAAAAGAAAGAAACAGAAGTCCAGCCCGGAAATGGCTTACCTGAGGCTGGTTAACCAGATCCCTCAGGAAGACTCCTGTCCAGGCCAAGTCAGCTCTAATTTGTCAATCTTTCCTCTTCCCAAATTGGGAGTAAAATCATTCAATACATTGAAATGTTAGTAGACTATATGATCTTGTATTATTATTATTAATTTATGTACCTTTATATTAAAGGTACCTAATATATTCTCACATGTTTCCATTTCTTTTCTATGAAACATCCCTGAACTCCAGTACTCACGAGATCCCAGATGAAATGACTACCTCTTCTTTTTTCCTTGTTAACAAAATTACTATATATTTTAGACCATCATCAGAATAACCAAAACTAACCTTTTTTTTCCCCTAGAGGCTTTCCTTACTAGGAATTTATAGTATGATACTATTTTATCTCATCAATTTTGTTCATGGTTTAAATTGTATTCCCACTAACAAATTTAGGTAGAGCCTGGCATTAAATGGTGATGATACATAGGTGTTTGTTCTGTTCACTGTAATTGATAAAGTTTTCTATGTCATTACTAGATGCATGTTGTCCATTTTTATTTTGTATACAGGTGAAGACAAAATTTATTTTGTACTGGTACATGAAAAGTTTTCTCTGTGGTATAATTGGACAGAGAACTCTCTATGACATGTTTGCAATTCTCAAAAAGTTTTGGTTTCTGTTAGGATAATTATTTACTGATTGATATATATTTTTTAATCTGTCCTTATGAGAATCTTGTAAATCCCGAGGTATTTACTCTTTCAATTCATTCTGCTTTCTTCAGACTGTTTTTAAAAATGATATTTTATAATACTGCATGTCCTTATAGAAAATGCATTATGAGGAACAAAATATTTAAATACAAATCTCAAATATTTGCTTTTAGAAATTCAATTAATCAACCAATGCATAGCAAAATATTTTCTTACAAAGAGGGCAGATAATTTTTGCACTTGAAAGTGATGCAGTCTGAAAATAATACTTTTAAATTGGGTTATATGTTAATCACATATATTCATACATATACTTTACATTTGTTTTCAATTACAAAAAGGTATGTTCCTCTGTAGTACTGTAAAATTGATTCAGAATTGCTTGGAGCTTAAATAATAAGCAAACTACAGAATAAAAATCACAGTGAGCTCATTGAATAGACATGGTGTTGCTGAAGTACGCTAGTTCATTCTGGGAGTGGTGAGACCTGGTTTTCCTCTTCTGCTATGAAACTAATCCTAATCCAAGACATGGAGTTTAAGGGTATGCAAATTCACTGCATGACTGCTAGTCTGGCACTATTATTTGGTGGTAGAGTCTGTGCTTTTTAGATAGGCAAGAAAAATTTAGAAATGTATTATGTCATGTGCACGTTCTTGAAGTTCCCTTATACATAGGGTGACATTTTATAAAATGGGGAGAATTGGTACTCAGGTACATCAAGTAACTTGCCCAAGATTAAAAAGCTAGTAATTTGTAAAGTGAGAATTTAAACCCAGTACTGATTCCAAAGTGTTTGTTTTCCTTATGCATGTTTCTGTTTGTTACTTAAAGTTGTGGTATAATTTTTAACAGTTTGTTATTAAAACACTTAAAGTATGGGTCACTTGAGCTATTATCTAACCTAATTCTGACTGCCACCATGTTTATTTATAAAGTATTTACATGTAGGGTAAAATTTCATCAGCAAAGAACAGATTAATTTGTAATTATTTTTTATCTTTAAAATGTTACAATGGTCCATCAAAATATGACTATGATTATTTCTCCACAGGCTGGTACAGAGGATTTGCCTTAAAAAACCCAAATATCAAGGTAAAAACTGTAATTTCTAACCGTAATTATAGGATTTTACAAAAAGACAACTATTTAAATTATCTTCCTATACAATTGAAATTATAGTTTGTATTCTTAGTTAAAATGCAAAATGGTAATACAGATTTTTATAATTCTTGAAATTCCTTTGAACTTGGATTACAGTTAAGATATGCTACTCAAATGATAATCCTATATAGCTCTTGAAAATTGTACTGAGCAGACCTTAATAAGCTCATTATATATAAACAAAATCTTTTTGAAGTGTTAGTTTCTCAAAGAACTAAATTAAAATTCAGGCAGGGGGGATATAGTTCCAAAAGAAATATGGAATAGAGGCATTTAATTTTAAGTCTTTTGTGGTATCATTTGTAAACACTGGTGTGGAGAAACAGATTCATTATAGTGGCACATTAAGAGTCTCCTTGGCTTAGGGAACTGAAACCTGGAAAATCATATTATAAAAATGTCCACCTTTCTTACTATTCCAGACAGAAACTAAGATTCATTATCCTTTATATACTTATATAAATCCTCGGGAATTATAGTAGGAAGTATGTGATTTTTGTTTTATCTTTCACTGGGATACTTTGTGATTTTGACACTAATCCTTACTAATATCTACATTTTTCTACCTTATTTCAATCTCCCCAGCTTTCACTCATACTTCCCACAGTCTCTAATATTTCTTATATGTCATATTCATTTTTTGGTTTAATTCTAGCTATACTAAAGTTGTTAATGAGAAAGTGTTTCATTTCTCATTCTCAAAACACAGCATAAGATAACTATACTCTTTTGTCTTTTTGCTTAAATGTGGCTTTTCCAACTATGTTTAATTACTTCATTGTATTATTTTAGATTAGTCTAAAAGGAGAGCCTAAGGACAAAAGAGTATGCAAATTAATTTTTAATACTTTAGCCCTCATTTAAAGTAGTTTTTGGACATTTGCAAGGCACATGCAAATATAGCCTCAGTATTTAATTATTCATCTAGAGCATGTTTGGGAAAAATTTATTATGACTTCTGAAGTTACTTTAGTCATATCTAACAAACCTCAATTCTAACTTTTCCTTATTAATTACATTTACTCCATTTGTTAATCATATCATATTGAAGTAAATTTAAGTTTTGCAGAAAAAAAATAATTTAAAGAATCTATATCCCTATTTACTACAGTTGAATATATAGAGTTTGCTTATTAAGTTTTATTTTATATTTGGGTGCACAGGAGTGATAACATATTCAAATGACATTTGTTTTCATAAATATTTAATTGAGTTTGTCATTTGATTATACATGATAAATTCTTCAGAGGACATTGTCACTTAACAGAAAATAAAATTGATGTTCATTTTGTTGTTGTTTCTTTCGATTTCCCATTTAGAACAGAGGAACAATTTCCTTGCCCTATCATTTCTCTATAATAAAAAGCTTTATGTGAGCGAGCGTGGCTTCTTTTGTTTAATTTTTGTGCCATCAGAATGGCAGCATAGTGATTAATTGCTGCTGTGCTGCCATCAAAGATCTTCCATAACACACAGTACAGATATTCTCCAAATTCACAGTGTTTTTTTTTTTCTTTTTAGTATATATGGTTAAATAAAACCATGAGTGTTTGGGGGTAAAGAAAAGAACAACTAAAACAAACAAACATCTATTAAAACTATGTTGTATTTTATTTATTATATTTTACTTTTATGTTTTTATTAGTACATTATAGCTAAACATAATAATGGGGTTCCTTTTGACATAATCACTCATGCATGGAATATTTTTAAACATCTATTCACTATAGCATGGTTTTTATTTTAGTATTCCTGAAATTGTTTTGCTTTCTATTTTACATTTGATTACATGATTACATTTGTCATGTGAGATTTGATTTTTTTTTCCGATTTTAGAGAATATTTGAGGTTTTTAAGGAGTTGGTAATAGAGAGTTAAAGGAGTGGGCCTGTGCCACAAGGGATTTCAGCCTGTGGCATGTGGGAGAGATGTTTTTCCTTAACTCCTAATATTTTCCTACTGTGTGACTGTGCCTTTTACATTTGTATTGTGAACCCACCCTGCCGTAAGAATCAGTGAGCACCCTAACCTTCGTGTTTTCTCTTCCAGGGTATATTTCCTTCCAGCTATGTTCACTTGAAAAATGCCTGTGTAAAGAACAAAGGGTAAGAAATAAGGGGTTTTTTTTGTTTGTTTGTTTGTTTTAGTAGTTGGAGGATTTTTACAAAGCTGTAATTACCTATTTTGGAATTTTATAATTCATGCAAGCTTGAAAAATGAGCTGTACAAGGTCATGATATTGTTGGTGCTGTTTGATGAAGAGACGCTGACTAAGGCCATTGGTGGAGGGAATTAAAGAACCCATCTGCTCCTTCAGGACAATGATGGGATCTAAGAGACTGAGGTCTCTCGTTGTTGGCATATCTTGGAACCAGCTCAATCTTAAGCAGAGGAGTTGGTTATTTTGGTTTCCTGTTATTTAAGGAAGCATGGCAGTTAGATCTATAAAATGTTGAGTCATGTCTTCTTAAAACCCAAGAATTTCCTCAATTTACCACCGATTTTAAGAAGCCAAGTCTATCTTTCTCTAAATGAGCATAATACCATAGTCTTAGTGTTAGCATTCCACAAAGCTCCTTTAGAGAATAATATTTATATGACACTCAGTTTGATTGAGCTCACTGATTATATACGATTTCTTATATATTTAACATTTTTTCAATCAGTTCCTAAAATGATTGGTAGCGTCTGTCAGAATAATACCACTCAAGCAAGAGTAAAGTTATCTCAAAATAAAAAAATGGTGGGTTCAATCTTCAGCACCTCATAAAAATAAGTAAGTAAAATAAAGGTATTTTGTCCAACTACAACTAAAATATATAAATAAATAAAGTTAATGAACAGACTCATTGTAAGATGGATTTGGACATAAAACATTTAGAGCCATTATCACAGGGAATCTTTATTGGGTCATTGTATAATTTTAATTTTATAACCAGAGTACAGATTCAACCATAGAAATTACATTCTTCCTCAAATAGTTATAATAGCAATCTGGTATTTGAACTCTTAAACCAGAGTAAATAATATCTTCAAATTTTAGTTTTACCAGAAAAGTAAGTTATTCAAATGGTGATTTTTATATTCACCCTCTATAAAGGTACAGTATTAAATTTTTGTTCAGTGAAAGAGATTCTACGGTATAAATATTTCCTGTATGGATAAAAGTTCATCTAGGAGACTATTACACCATATAGCTTATATGTGTCAGCTACTTTAACCAAGTATTATTAGTAGGAAATAGTAACTTTTTAAAAATAGTAGATTGAAACTATAATTCTAATACAAATACTTACCACTGCTGATAGAAATCTTTTAATAAATACATATCCTTCAGAAATGTGTAGCTATACCCCCCACAATTATCAAGCAAAGTTACCAGTCTTTTTGAAGTCTACCACCCCTGGCTTGAAACTGTCCAGCCCTGTTCAAGTAAACCAGAGCTCAGGACAGAAAGCTTTTCAGCCGCATACTGCTTCTTTGTCCTGATCTCTCTGCCCTAGTTATCTGGAATGGGCATTGTTGAAACCCTGGGGTCTATCCTAGCCCTTAAAGTGCTTATCTGGACAAGACCCTGCAGTTCTTTCCTCTGAGTTCTTTCTTGCTGCATTGGCCCCAAGACCCACCCAGCCTCCATCAGACACTGATCAAGGAAGAGAAAAATAGAGCAGGGGATAAAAGGGATGTCAGTCATTACTCCACTTAGTCAGCATCCACCCCTCAAAGGGCATTGGAGTGGGACATAGTTTTAAAGTAAGGATTTACTTCTTCTTCTTTTTTTTTTTTTGCAATGTTGTATATCTTGCCCCCTTCCATATGCCTCAAGAAAGCTTAAATGCTGGTAAAGTTATCTCAAAATTTGGTTGTGCAAGTTTAAGACTTGCTATGAGGTATCTACCTGACACCAGGCATGATAGGCATGGGGCAGCAGAAGAACTTATAAATAGAACAGACTTCATTTTCTAAAAAAGAATTATTGGAGTTGGTCAGACCCATGGTTCTGGGACTGTTATTGGAAGAAAAACATTGGTCTGAAAACATTTGAGAACATGTATTGCCAGATGATTAGTTTCCCAGAGAAGAATCTCTGTGGGAATTTGAAGGTACCTATCTTGTTGGAAGCAGATTTTCAACCTGATGTCCCACTGGGATGAAGTTGCTGCAAAGTACATTTCAGAATAAATGAAAAAAAAATGTAATTTCAGAGCAACTGCTTATGATAGATTATTTGAATTTTAGTTTTGGTTTTTGTGTATTTAATAGGAAAAAGCTGCCTTGCCCAAATGGCAATTTTGTGCTTAAAAACTTGCATTTTGTTTGGACAGCTCTCTCATTGACTTCCCACAGATTGAATTGTCTTTATAGTCTTTTCTGAGTTTTCAGAGCAATGGAGGACTGATGGGGACCTTTAGGTGATAGTTTGTGTGTGAGGCCACTTCTGGTTTGTTCTTGCTGAGGTCATGTCACTTTTAAAATGTTGAGCAGGATGTCAGGTTTTCTTGGAAATTCGTTGTTCCATCCCTGACCTTGTGTAGGATCATTTTATAATCTCTCCGTCTCCAAATAGTCATCATTTAAATTGCAACAGTTGCTTCAAAAGCAAAATGAATGATGTACTACCCCTGGAAAATGTCATATATAGCCTTAATAAAAGGTTCTATATTTGTCACACGTCATATATCAATATTTGCTTTTAATTCTAATTTTAAACTCCAGTTTTGCATTTTCAGCTATGTGAAACTCTAGAATGAAGGAAAATATTCACGGGGTAGGTATTAGCAGCCATATGAAATGAGGAGATGGAGCTCTGGTGAAGGAATCAAGGCAAACTTTTAGTTCCTATACTTCCATTAAGAAGATTTTATAAAAGACAGTTATACACACTTTGGACATACCATCGAAAAAGGAACGACAGAGCAGTTATGAGCCTCATACTAAGAAGTAATTTTCCCTTGATCATGGAGATGACCTGGTTCAGTGTCTAAGAAGCTGTTACCTTTTACATATTAGATGTTGTCCTTGAGAAAATGTAATGAAATAAAGAAAACAGTCTCCATCAACATAGCCAGTAGTGTTCTTTGAGATGCAGTGGTAATAACCACGTAACCATTTTAACCAGCATTGAAAGGATTAGAAAAAGAAGCTAGAGATGCAGAAAAGGAGATCATTACATGACAAAGACAGAATAAAAAAGACAAATTAAATCTTCCCTTTTTTTTTTCTTATCTCCTTACATTTCTTAACTTCAGGACAAAGACACATACCTATTAAATGTTGGTATGAATATTTTTATAGTTTCTGACTTTTAGAGAAGAAATGGAAAGACTGCATTACCCTAATTATAGAGATTAACATTTCGAGTGAATTTTTAAATATCTAGGAAGTGTTAAAAGCCTTTAAATTTAATGCTGCATGATAACATTACTAATAGTGCTAATGATTTTTCGTGGTCTGGTTCACATATAATAAAAATGAAGGGTTAATAACCTCCACTGTGTGTTCACTCAGGGTCCCAGTGTCCAGTTTATAAGGTTGTTCATTTGAGTGTTCACATCCTGATGGCTCAGTAGTGTTTCTTTTACTCTCTTGGTATCCCATGGAGTCAGCACTTGGAAGGCAAAGTTCACCTCAGACTATGTAACGTCTGGTGACCTCATGTGGATTTGGGGCTAGGAGAGGTTAAAAGAGTCTATTGGTCTATTGGTCACCCTGTCACCAGAGTAGAACTCTTCTGTGATTCCTTCTCTACTGCAGGGATCACACTTAATCTGGATGAACTGGCTGGTTCCCTTGGGTATCGCATTGCCCCATGACTGTCCTCACACAAACTCATAATCAAGTCCCAGTTACTGTCTTCAGGACCCAAAATAAGTTGATGGCTCTCCTTCCTAATTTATGTTTTAGAGTACTTAAAACCAAATTGTTGTCCATGGTATTTCCATATAGGCCTTTTCTTTTCTAATTTCACAGACAATTTGAAATGGTTATTCCCACTGAAGACTCCGTTATCACAGAAATGACATCAACATTAAGAGACTGGGGAACCATGTGGAAACAACTCTACGTGGTAAGTTCTTTTTTTAGTGTAGCGGCTATTCGGGCAGAGAGTTTTCTTAAGCAGTATCTGAACATGAATAAACATTGGCTGGCATTTGAGCACCTGTTGTAAGTCTCTAGGACTTCTCAGGAAACCAGGATATAGATCTTAGAAGACATAGCCTCGTAATCTCTGTGTGCACTGAGCATGGGTCTCATACATTATTTTTCAAAATCGCAGGATAAAACAGGTGACTTTTCTGACATCTAACCAAATAGGATGGTTTACGTGGATCTACTATTAGACTTCCTGAATATTTTGAGTTCTCAAGGACAAATAAGTTTATTTGTAATTCAGTTTTAGTGGGAGTTGGTAGTTTATCATATTTTAATTCTATAATTCAAGTATACTATAAATGACAACTTCTTATCCAGAGTCAGTGAGAATATTCTAAATATACTAAGGAAGGGAATGTTTCTTGAACAACAACAACAACAACAAAAAAATCCTCAGTGTTTTAAGGTATATATGATTACATTATTGAGTGCTTGTTATACAACAGATTCCTCTGGAACTACTCCATGTACAGTATTTCATTTATTCCTTATGTTTAATCAAGGAAATAATAACTGTGATCATTTCTAGCTTATGGAAGGGAAAAATGAGGCCCAGAGAGTGAAGTACTCCATATTCAGTAGTCCCTTTCTTATCTGCCAGGGATATAATCCCAGACCCCTGTGGAGCTTCAAACTGTATAATACAGAACCCCAAATATATACTATGCTATATTTTTTTCCAAAATAAATATCTATAATATTTATCTCTGATAAATATCGGTGATAAAGTTTAATTTTACAAATTAGGCACAGTAAGAGAATAACAACAATAACAAATAAAATTGAACAGCTATAAGATACTATAATAAAATTTATTTAAAATTTATGAATTGTTTGTTTGTAGAATTTTGCATTTAATATTTTGAGAACTCAGTCACTTGTGGATAAATGAAACTCTGGGAATTGAAACTGCAGATAAAGGGAACTACTCTCATTAGAAAGTAGCTGAGCTAGAGTTTTGATGTGAACCTGGTACTATGTATGCAAACTATTATGTATGCTAAAGTCAGAGGGTGATGAAGTTTTGAGGAAGAGTAATAAGATTTCTCCTTGTATTTTCAAAAAAATTTCTAGAACAATTTAATCATTTGAAGGAATGTGTTCAAAATCCAAACGTGCGCTTATTCTGACAAAATTATTTTAAGTCGCCTGAGAGAAAAATCCAAATTAGTAAGGGGCATAAGCACAGAAAGATAGTTTATATTGTCTATTACATCTAAAATGAATAGGGTGTTTCATTGAGAGAAGAATATCTTGAAAAGTCACTAACCAAAATCCTTTGGTCCTGGAGTTTTCTGGCCACACCATTCTGGAGCTGGTGGCTTTAGAACTCACTGGGAAAATCCACAAGACAAAGCTTACATCTTAGATGAACTGCCAGAGTGTGGTCCTTGTAAACATGAAGTCAAGATAGCTGATGCACAGGGAGGGCTGTGTACCAAGATAGTGCTAATGAAATGCAAATCTTTCTTTTATTAATTTTTAAAAATGTAGGCTGGGAACAATATTAAATCCAGGCATTATTTCATTTGAATTAGCATTTTGTGTGACACATTGTTTGAAAAGTTTGAACCACTGCATCCCAAATACCCAACTTAAGAGAGTTATAAAAATAATGACAGTGTAAGTGCTGTCCATTAGTTGAGCTGCAACACCCAGACTTTTCCTTTTATGTAGCTTCTAGTAGGGAACAAAGTTGAATTTCCTTTTGATTCTGTCTTATCTAGCTATTTTTACCTGCTTTTGAGGTTGGAGGCATCTATTTTGGGGACAGACTTGGTAGGCTTGAAAAATCTATGTGTTGTAAACTCTGGAAGTAATCTCTTCTTCTGGTGTCCTGAGTAATGGGAAAGAGAGATAATTATCTAACAGTTTCCCTGGCTACTAAAATGGTAGTGGATTATATGAGGAACAAATGTAAATTTCAATCCTGAAATATCAGTTTTGGCATTGAGAATGAGGCTAACTTGGCCACTTTGGACCTTTTGGTTCTCTCTTTCTGATGTAAATGTTCTGTGCCTAGGGTTTGGTTCAAGTTTCATTATGCTTGAGTGTATTTTGGATACTGTCCATTTTCTCTTCCAGTGATTTCAAAGTACCTGCTTCTTCACTGAAAGGTGTTTGATGAGGGCAGTATTTTTTTGTAAATTGTAAATATTATATAATGTATGCCAAATGCTTAGAATAAAAGCACATGGTAAATGTTTGAGCAGTGCTTGTTACTCTTCTAAATAATATTGGTAAAGGCCTAAATTATGTCTTTTAAAATAACACTTAACAAAATATTAGTAATGTAACCACAGAAAGTTTAGGAGAAATACAGTGCTCATCCTTTACTGAGTACTTTGGTTCGGGCCCTGAGCTATTTTACATTTATCTTCCCTGGGGCTCTGCCAGGTAACTTTTATTCTCAAATCTTATCAAAGATGATTTATCCAGAGTCCCACATTGAGTGGTAAAGCCTGAATCTAAATCTAGGTCTGCTGCTGTAAAAACCTGTTTGCTACATTTCTGAAATATAGCAGGAATTTTTAGATACTGTTTTATTCCAAATGTTTGATATATTACCATACTTTTTCATTTAACACTGAATCAAAGCATTTTTATTTCTGAATAGTCTTCATCATTATCCAGTTTCACACATCCAATTTTTATGAACTATCATTTTTTGACAAGATGTGCAATCAGATATGTACACTTATTTTTACAGTGGTAGTAAAATCAGGTGGCCAAGCCTGTAGCATGACAATGTCTCTTCCACCCCTTAAAGGGAAAGCTGACCAGCTGGCTTTAATGTTTACAAAGGATACCGCTTTCTTCTCATCTTTACATTATCTTAAATTGAAGTACAGAACGTAACATCACAGAAAAACAAGTTCATCTTACAGAACGACTGCAGACCGCATCTCCAAGTGCAGGCATGTGGCCTTTCAGTGTGACAGTCAGTTCAAGAGAGTGCTGGCTCTCTCCTTTGTGCATGAGATTTGATTTCTTTTTATACTTCCTCATGGAATTGTTTTACTCAGTGGACTTTTCCTTCCCACTACTGATTTCATCAAATGTTTGATATTCCCAGCTTATTCTTTTGTAAGACCTAAACAGAATCTGTCTCTTGAGGTCCACAAAAAAAAAAATAATACCTGTAAATCAAAGTCCCCATTCATTCTCCTGCAGGGGTTACAAAAGACAGGCACAGCCCCTGTGGTTGAGCTCTAAAAGCCACGTGGAGGACACAGACACTGGGCTGCTAATTATAAGAGTATTGTGTCATAGTACTCTTGCTTGTACGGGAGTGTATCACATGAGCAAAAAGTAATAGAAGTCAGGCTCCATAGAGTGCTTTAGGAGTTGAGAGCAAGATTATTTATTTCCCAGAGGATCAGGGATGCATCCTAGAGAATGTTTTCTGTCCTCTGCACATTTGTCTGACCTGCACAGCACATGAAAACTCCTCAAGACACCAAGTATCAATAAGGTATAAAACACTTCACTACTTTTTAAAATTAAAAAAATGGGTTATCACCCAGTGTCTTTACCCATCACGGGAACCTGACATCTCCTGCAGCTTGTCGCGTGAGAGGACTTCAGGTAATTGATAACCACCACTTTTTGTGTGACCTTCTAATGATTTTTGTGAAAATTAAAATGCAGCTTCTCGTTAAGGAAGGTAAGAAGTGAATCCTTACATAGATTTACTCTGGGCTGGGTACAGTGGTGCACACTTGTAGTCCCAGTAGCTCAGGAGGCTGAGGCAGAAGAATCACATGTTCAAAGCCAGCCTTAGCAAAAATGAAGCACTAAGCAATTCAGTGAAATCCTGTCTCTAAATAAAATACAGAATAGGGCTGGGAATGTGGCTCAGTAGTCAAGTGCCCTGAGTTGAATCTCCAGTACTCCATCTCCCCACAAAAAAATTTATTCTGATATCTGTGAGACAAGAGATCTATATTTTGGTTTTGTTAAAGAAACAGTATTTGTAAAGAGCCTATTATGAACAAAGCCCCCAAACAGTAGCAGTATTAGTAATGGCAAATTACTGAAATGGTATTTATTTGGGGCCAGGCATTGTTTTCAGAGTTTTAATATACTAACTCGTTAATCCTGACAACAACCTTTTAGGTGGGTAGTATGATACCTGTTAATAAACGAGAAAACAACACAAAGAAGTTAATGAATCACTGAGGGTTTTTTAGCCAATAAATGCTAAAATTAGAAGGTCATTGGGCTCTAAATTGGTGCTCTTTGACCATGGCTATGCTGCTATCTTCATATATGTTACCTGTAATCTATAAAACAATCTTGTATAAAGATAGTACTTCCCTATTTTAAAGATGACAGAACTCCATACTCAAAGTTTATGAAACTAGTAAGTGGCAAGACCAGGATTTGAAGTCAGGAGTTTAACCCATCTTTTTTCACTAAGCCACAGAGCTTAATGATTTTCATAGGAGGTTATCATGATTCTATGTGATTGTATAAAAAATTTAAAAGCACCACTTTTTAAAAGTAGTAAATACTGAGCAGATAATGACTGTGAAAATTTATCAGTGAATTATCATGAATGAGCTTGAGAGTCCTCTGTGCACCTAACTTCTGAAGTAAGATCTAGCTGGGTGTGATGTCACTTACCTATAATCCCAGTGACTTGGGAGGCTGAGGCAGGAGGATCACAAGTTCAAGGCCAGCCTCAGCAACTTACCAAGGCCCTAAGCAATTTAGTAAGACCCTATCTTAAAACAAAAAAGTGCTGGGGATGTAGATCAGTGATAAAGCAGTCCTGGGTTAAATCCCTAGTACAAAAAAAAAGGGTGGGGGAAGATCTAATGAATTGTTAAAGTCATAATATAAGATATAATTGGATTACGATGTTTTCTATTTCATCGACTTTAGTTGTATACAGCCATAACACTGAGGGGAGAGAAAAGAATGTGAGCAAGAGTTATCAGGAAAGACTGCCTCACAGAAGTGGATGTCCTGCTGAGCCTCGAAGGATAGTAGTGAGTTTGGACAGAGGTAAAGACAGGAGCACATGAAGGTGTGGAGGCATACTGGAAACAGGAGCACTGTGGTTGTGTTGAGGAATAGGAGAATGTTGTATTCTTGGGCAGGAGAGCAGCATTGTTGAAACTTGGGTGAAAGCAGGTAGAATCATACTTGCACTTTAGAACAACGAGGGAAATGAATGTTTTGATGGTGAATCTGTTCAGGATTCAGCAAGCATATAGAACGTAACCAAGACTCACCCCCTGCCCCTTCCTATTTGGTTACAACTCAGCATGGGACTGACTACCAGTTCTCTTCTTTGCATATTTCTTAGAGAAATGAAGGTGATCTCTTCCACCGGCTGTGGCACATCATGAATGAAATCCTGGATCTGCGGCGCCAGGTGCTGGTTGGCCATCTTACCCATGACAGGATGAAGGATGTGAAGCGACACATTACTGCCCGCCTTGACTGGGGCAATGAGTGAGTACTGACCATTAGGGGGTACTAGGTGTGGGAAGAAATCACATCAGCTTTGACCTTTTCACCGGCTTTATGAGGACTGTCATTGATGGAGCCAAGAGCCACATTCTTTAGGTCTGGTGTCCACACCAAGGCATTGTTTGCTCTCTAGTGTCTTGTGTGGTGTGATAGTATGCATGTATTCATATAAAATGAAATGTTCATATGGGTTAATTAAATATTGCCTCTGACTAAAATGGACCTTATCTTCCAGTAGGCTTTAGGTTTGGCATGTGTACTTGTTCTTATTGTGCACCTCTCCATATCATGCTGTGGGTTGCCAGTGTAATCTGAAGGGAGACAGTGATGTTAGCAGCTTCTTTTGAAAGGCTTAGGCCAGGTGCACCACGGGGACCTTTCATTACTGTTGTGATGGTTCCTGTGCATACATGTCAGCTACTCAGGAGGAGCCGCTTGGGAGAAGAGTAAAAAGCTGTTTTTGATGGAGATTTACCTTTAAATAAAAATGTGGGACTAATTTAAAATAACAATCAAGAACTTAAATAGTAAGTCTAATCAATAAAAGCTCTGGCCAAAACTGATATAGCACTAAGTATGACTGACAATATAAGAATTAGAAATACAAACAAGCCAATCTTGCCTACGATCCTAGGATTGCATATGGCCTAGGTTTAAGGCACCAAAATGGTTTCATAATATCCTACAAGGCCATAGCCTACCTTTCTTTCCTTTCCCCAAGCTCTCATTTACTGTTTGGACCTTCACAGGATCTTAGGGCAACAGAATAAAAAAAGAAAGAATAAAAAAAGAGAGAGAAAATGTCAGGACATTTTGAACAGTGGACAAAATGCAAACAACAGCAACAAAAAGAAAATTGGAAAGTAGAATGTTTCCCCTACCCTTAGGAAGTCACTTTATCAGAAGCCAAGTGTGATTCCCACCAAGATGTTAAATACTACAGGAATGACAGATTTGAATCCTGCCACTCACCCAGAGCATGTATGACATCTTTTTTAATGTGCTGTGCCACTCAGTGACTAGCATAGCCTTATCTATTTATCTCTAGAACATTCATTTCCCTGAGAAATAAAGCAGGTACAGGCGTGGAGTGACTGATTCATGACTTAGTTTTTGACTTACATGAGTTCTAGCTGGTGGTTTGAACATTTGTTGGGCTAATTTATGGTAAATTGGTAAAACCCTGTTGCATGAAAATGAATGATACATTTATTAAGATCATCTTTAAATTCATGAATTTTCTGAGCTCTTATTCTGTTTTCTTTGAATTTCATTGTCCACTTATTAAACATAATTTGTAGCACACATATTATGCATTTTCCTTGTTACTTTAAGTATAAACTTGTTTTCCTATTGAAGTGCATTGTGGAAAGCAAACGAGGATAATTTTTTTGCCTATTAAACTATATCAGATTGTCCTGGAAATTATCTGTCAATACTTAAATCTCTGGATGAACATAAATAAAGAATATGTCTAATCTCAAGTTGTCTATCAAACTGTTGAAGCGAAGCCCTCTGGAGTGGGGAGCCTGGGTGGAGGAGATCATAATCCATCTGGTTCCTAGTGGGGTCAGTAAAATAGTGGTACATGTTTCTGTCTCCTATAGAGGGCTTTGATGTCCTTTGAGATCTGATGTCTCTAAGATTATATGGGAGGGAGAATTAGTTCCTCCTTTCTTCATATAACACAGAGTAGGATAGTGGCTGCATTGACATTAAGTCTGACCATTTCTCCATCCTTAGATTCTGGCTTCCTGTATCCTGTGGGGTCTGTCTCCATGTTGTCTCCCCCTACCTTGCCTGATTTCTCTGTGTGCATTGTAGAACACTGCCCTGAGTCTATTTTGTGAGCTAAGAAACCTCAAACAGTGCCTGGATTATCCTAAGGAGATAAACTAGAAGTTGATAAAACCAAATAAAAACAAACAAGATTCTTTTGTTTTTTTCACACAGCTGGGACTCCAGTTAGCCAAGAAAAATTGAAAAATCAAGTTTTATGGGAGAAAAGAGCTTACAGAATAATGATTCTAGGCCTGAAAGTTCAGGAAGTTCTGGAGCCCACATCTGGAGCTAATCTTTACTCATTCTGCAGTGATAATCAGATGCCCTTCACATATCTTTTCTCCCTCACATGAAATGGCTAATTCTATCTGAATTTCCAAGTTCAAATTCACAAAGAAGGAATACCATTGACAGCTAATCCTTCTGTTTGGACTGGGTACTTTATACAAGCCTCTCAGAAGCTGCTGGCCAGCCCATGGATTCTTTGTTCTTAGATCAGGTGTCTGCCTGCAGACCAGTCAAGTATGTATCAGAAGGGGAAATGTTCAGATAACTGCCTTATGTTCCTGCCTCTTCCTGGAGAGAAGGTGGGCAGCAAAGCTTCTCTCACCATGGTTCTTATGTGGTTGTATGCTCTCTTCTCTTTGCTGGATAATCTTTCATCAGCAATGTATTCCTGATATCAAATCCTGTCTTACTTTAGTATATATAATATATAGTGAGTCTCTCTTTGGAGGCATTGGGGAATGGACCCTATGAAAATCCCTGGTGAGATATGGCATAGGAGGAAATGTTGAAAATAAATCACTGTGCTTGTGATTTGAAAGTTCAACCAGAAGAATGAGTGTGTCATTTGAGTTTCTTAAGGAATAATTCAAATAAGGGAAATTTAGAAAATGTTTTTAGAGTTTGAAAGGTAGCTTTCTGCTCTCAAGGAAGGGATACTGTTCTAGTTTTAAGAACTAATATCTCTCTGGGTAGCTGGGCAGTATTTGGTCTGCAGCAGGTGGTAAATTAATAAATTTTGCTTATGAAGCTTTAATGAAATTTTGAGAAGGGCATGGATTTTTTTTTTTTTTAGTATACAAAAGTAAGAAAGCTGCATTCTGTAATTGGAGGTGCAATGTTACAAAGCTCCCGTAGTGGAAAGAGTGATATTGTAAAAGGGATGCCAAATAAATTATCTTCCAATAAGCATGAGACCTGGAGTGTGGTAATTCAGAGGAGTCTAGTGGACAGAGGGCTTCTTGTTCTTGATCTATAGGGTATTGCAAAGGCATGTTGAAGCCAGTAGGATGGTAATGGATGGTTAAGCCGGTGAATGGAAGAATGTGACTTTGGCATCAGTGTTGTGCAGTAGGTACTCTGGGGAGCAGAGTGTTACAAGGTCACTGAAGGGAAACTGGCTTGAACAGGCTTGTACTCACATTCCTCTGTTCAGGCTAAGACAGCCCAAATCAATTACCATGCATGGTCCCTCTGAGACTGGATATAACCTTAGAATACTTCTCAGCATCAAAAACCACATATCGATCACAATGACACCTGACTCTGAAGTTTAAACAAACCATTCCACCACTCTAGGCCTAGAACAGTGCTGCCTCAATTTCTGTTTCCTTCATTTACTGAGTTTCTTCAAAATGTCTTACTCCAGAACTTGCTCTGAATTAATTCCAGGCACCAGTGACCTGACTCGCCTTAGAAATGTGTTAACTCTATACTTGGTACTACGCCAAATCCTAAACACCAACTTTCCCTCTCCTCAAATTCAATTTCCAGAACCAAATTATTCCTAGCTCTAGTTTCCACCCTACTCCAGTATAGAAGGGCTTTTCTGGTGATAGTTTATAGGTGCTGAAAGCCCTGAGTGGCAGGAACATTCCACTAAATGCCAACCCTTGCCTCCTTGATTTGCCTGTCTTTGTTATCCACTTCTTCTCAGGTTAAGCTCAGTTTCCAGCCTTGCAACTTGTCTACCCCAGTTGTAGTAATAAGTCATACAGGGTACAGCTATGAGTGAGAAAAGGATAGTAGGTGATACATCTAAATTTTAAGGTGATGTAGTAAAAGTAATTAAATATATTGCATAGAAGTGACTTTTCTCCAAACGTTTTGCAATTTTTTTTTTTTTCTAGACAACTAGGACTAGACCTGGTGCCTCGGAAAGAGTATGCAATGGTGGATCCAGAGGACATCAGTATTACTGAGCTCTACCGATTGGTAGGTATAAGAAATGTTGACTCACACCACACTGCTGATTTTGTGGTTTCCACGGCTCTTTTTAAACCTACTTGATTTTGTAAGAACAGGATGTTCAGGTTTAATTTGAAGAGAATAAAAGAATGGAGGGCTGAGGTGACCCTGCCCTGAGGATAGTACTAAGACATTTTCCCTTTCTCAGAGTGATATGATGTTCTCCACTGAGCCCCCAACTCCCAAGCACTAGAAAGTAAATGCAAGGTTTTACATCCTTTTGCAAATCTTTATACTTTTTGCCTACTGTAGTGAAATGGTTACAAGTCACACATTCATACCTGTTGTGTTTCCAGTGTCCCAACTAATGGTATCCAACCATTCATTGTCCATCAGTATATCAACCTGCCTTCCTGTCCCTGTTGTTGTGATACACATTGATAACAGAAAGCGTGTCCTCCTTGGTCTTCACTTGCTGATTTTAAACCCATCCCCAGACCGAAAGCCTAGGTGCCAAAACCTAGGTTTTCCAAATCTGATCTAATCAGCCTTGAATTTAGCCTTATATTCATAAATACTTGTATAGAATTTACCTAATTTATTGATATTAATTAAGCTCTCTTTAAAACCCCGAATCAGAGTAGGAGGTGGTTGGGAAGAGCTTTTGTGGGCAATTACCTTTTACTGTAATATCATTACCATAATATTTCTAGGAGGAGTGCCTATCCTTCCTATTTAGGAAGATCCTGCTTCTTTGGAGGTAGCTTTTCAAGCTTACAGTCTTTTTCTGAAAATAGTGGGATCGTCTAAAACTGGATGGTTATCAATATATGAAAAATGTGGGAAAAATCATAAGTCCATCAGAGTTTGAATCTGACTTGTGAAGTCAGACATAGTTTTATCCGTTTAAGTGTTTTTCTTCATCACCCATATGTTTAGATTATCTATTCTTTGGCTTGTTGTTGGAATACATTCTGGTTTTATAGAGGATCCCTTTACTGTGTGGTGAACTTCTTGTGAGCACTGTTGCATGCTATAGGCCTTTACAGCATCTGTGCTGAGCAGAATGTATGGTGCATGGGGGCACGAAGATAGTGGTAGTTTAACTCAAATTAAAGTTATCACTACTTCTTAGCCTATATAGCAAATATAATTTCTGTATTTCACTTGTCAGTCACATCTTCTGATGTGACATCTGATTAGTTAGTTTGTTAAACCATTGCGCTGTGTATTTTCTCACTTTTAAAAATAATCTTTCTTTCAATTTTAAGTTGCTTTAGGTTGTACATAGTGTCTTCTGTCCCTGGTCTTATGCTCAAGTTAATTTTGTCCAGTGGTTTGTATTTAATAAACACTCAGTCATTGTTTTGGAGATCATTATGATATGATGAACAGACTATGGATTGTGGCTTCAAATATCTAGATTTGCAGTCTTTATGAGCTCTCTGGTCTTGGACTTGTTATTTTGTCTCTGGGCCTCAGTTTCTTCATGTATTAAGTAGGAAAATAATTCTTTTCTTGTTCATTACTGAATTAAAAAAACATGTAAAATGGCTTTCCTTATATTTGCAAAATTACCTCTATAGGTAATTGGTTTTTATTCTTTTATCTCATCTTCATTAGGGAGGCAGCATGGTAAGAATAAGTGATATAATCTGTACTCAATATTAGATTAGAGTTGGCTCTTTGGAATGAAGTAAATAATAGAAGCTTAGACACAATAGAAATTTAATTCTCAAAATGTGCAAATCTATAAACAGGAAATTCTGAATTGGTTTGCAGCTTCATGATATAAAAAGAGATTCAGTAGATGTCATACCATAGGTGGCTTCCCAAGGACTCTTCAAAGCACAGTAGAGCTGCAAGAGTCATAGCCATTACATCTGAACTCCAGGCATTCAGAGGACAAAGTTTCCTCTCCATTGATTCATTTATGTTCATGAGCCTTCCTGAAAGTTCCATTCAGCACTGACCTTTACATCTCACTGGCAGAGCATAATCCCACCCCCAGCTTTAGCTGAGGATGTCAGATACTTGACAAGCAACAATAATGTCTGACACAAACACTTTCTCCCCCTAGTTTTATTTTCTGTATATGCAATTTTGCCTCAGTTCTTTTTACTTAACCTTATACATGGGTGACAAATTGATTTCACCTCTCTTAACATTGCAGTTTACTGGTGGTGGCTGCCTGGAGTGTAGTGGTGATAAAATTCTGGGATCTCATCTAGGCTTTGATTGATTAGTCATATCTGCCATTGGTGAGAAAGAAAAGAGGGGATATTTTAGTATATAGATTCTAGCCCAAAGTCTTTGTTGTACAGATGAGGAGAATAAAACATTATAATTTCACTTGAAACCTTAATTTCTCCTCCATAACATTTTACTGTTTCTTAAAAAATGTAGCATTGCATTTTACTATTTCTAAAGCAAAGACCTATAGCCTGAGAAAAACCCAGTGATTATAAACTTTAGGAGAACATGCTGTCTTCTTTAAGGTGTACATTGACTTAGCAATAATCAGTCTCTGCAGTCCTGGTCTTTTTTCTTCACAATATGAAAGTGTCTGTTGACTCACCAAGGAGAACTGGGAGGCACAGTCCTTGCTGTTGCTGTTGCTTGTTGTCACTTGGACCAAGTACCACGACATGGAGGTAAAATGTTCAACAGAAGATGTTTTCTTTAGGGTCATATTTATAAAACAGTTTTTTTTTTCATGTCACTAAATTCATATTGCATCAGGAGGAAAAATTGTCTTGCTTTAGGTTTTTGCTAGCCTGTTAGCAGATCTTTCTCACCTAATTGTGCTCATCTAAGCAGTAAAAGTGCTAAGCCTCACAGTGTTAACATATGTCCACTCAGAAAGTCTTGTCTAGTGCCAAAGGCCAGATCTCAATCCTGCTATAAATAGAGAAGCTAATTAGCTGATTGTCTGTTTTTTTGGCCCGCAGAGTATCTTCATAGGAACCTTTTATGGTTTTATAGGATCATGTTATCTTTTTGCTTAATCCTTAGTGGGTTAGACCAGAGCTTTACAAATGGAAAATTATGGTTCTCAGAGGGAGATTTACACCCCACCTCCCAGTACACTTGACATTGTCTGAAGGCATTTGGGGGTTATCACACAGAAGTGGAGGTGGAGAGAGGCCAGAGTCCAGGAAAAAATCATGAAACATTCCACAAAACCTAGGATAGCCCCCACAATACATATTCAGCCAAACTAAACTCATAAGGTTAAGAATTGTGTGTTTTCACTCATGGAAGCTAGAAAGGAAGAGAGAAAAGAAGGGGGGGCTAGGGGGTCTCATGAAAATTGAAGGGAGATCAGTAGAATAGAGGAAAGGGGGCAAGGAGTAGGGGAGGGTAATCAGAAATCATGGGGAATGCTATTGCCTAAATTATATTGTTGTGTGTATATTCAAATATGTAACAACAGTTCCATCATTATGTACAACTATAATGCACCAATAAAAATATGGAAATAAAGAGATATTTAGCCAAAATTGTTATTAGCACTGAGGTTAAGAAATCCTGATATGGACAATTCATCTAATGATTAATGTATTATATGAAGATTAAAAAGTTCAGTCAGTTTGTAAATCTTTGGGATGAATATATTTTTCTCTTAATCCGAGGTCTAGATAAACTGTAATCACATGTAAAGTAACTGGCACATACATTTTAACCATAAATTATTTCAAGATGGATTTTTTGTGTGTTATAGCTACACAATTACTACTCTTTATATTATCACTGCTATTTTTTGTAACTACTTTTGAAATGTGAATATGCCTTGTAAATTTTGTTATTGCAGTAATATTTTCACAAAGATATTTTTAGCACTTCCTCAAAGTAGTGAATTATCAAGAGATAAGCAGGTAATCATAACCTACTTAAGCCCAAATTCATCCTAGTCCTAGAAGGGAGTTCCAGGTTGAAGGTTGAAGGGAGAGAGAGGAGAGCTTTCAATGCCAGGGTGTGGCAGACTGGAAGGTTGTGCCACATGTACAAAGGGTGGAATCAGACTAGCATATATGCAAAACCAAGGCAGTCCTTGTTCAGAGGATGTGACATTTGTCAGTCTGCTCTGATTTGCATCTCTTTTCATATGATCCTGATCAGTGATTCTCAACCCTCATTGCCCATTAGAGTCACCTGGGGAGCTTTTAAAACTACCACTCTCTGGACCCCCATCCCCCAGAAATTCTAATTTAATTGTTCTGGGATAGGACCTCGGTATAAGTACTTTTTAATAACTCTCTTGGTGACTCTAAAGTGCAGCCAAGGTTGAGAACCACTGATCTAGATATATTGGATTCCTTGCATGAGTAAGGGAGCTTATTTTCCCATTGGTTCTTAGTGAAGGTTGTGATGGATGCTAGAAACTGTGCTTTTTGTAGTCAAAAGCAGACACCTCCTTGAGGTCAGTGCTTTTCTTGCAAGTTTTTTACATCTGGTTCTCTAGCTCTGCCATATCGTAGACATTTAATCAGAGCAGCCTGTGCTATGTTTCCCTTTGAAGTCTATGTACGTTGAGCTTTTTAAGTAACTTAGCAAATCAGTTAGCAATTTTAGGGAAAACAGTCTTTGTGAGTTAAAGAGATGTAGTTTTATGAATATATGATGCTTCTTTTGCCATAGTAAAAAAGAATTTTAAAAGTACAAAGTAGAGAAAATTCATAGAAAACAAGACAGAATTATGTTTTTTCCCCTCTAAAGTTAGAATACTCTTTTCCAAATAGCTTTTTTTTCTAATAATTATGGTCAACACATACCACAATGCTGAGGCCCACTTAAAAAAAAAAAAGTATTTACTCTTTGCTCTGCATTGTTACCAAGAGGTGCCCAGTGTATCTGTTGAGTGGAAAGTGATTACAGGTGCATTTAGTTGATCCCATTTTTATTTTAACCTTTGCTTTTCAAGTGGTTGAAAATAAAAGTTCGGAACATGAAAAAAAAAATCTGGTAATTTATGCCACTATGTGATTTACAGGTGGAAATTATAAAGATGGCATTTTGGCTTGAAAATTGGTGTGTTGTTCATTAATTACTGAACTCTACTTAGAAACTTTAAAAAGATGGCTAACGTAAAAATGGGGTTATATTCTTTAACCTCCAACAAAGGCTGTGGCTTAGCTACCATGGAGTTAAAAATCTCTGAGGCTTTTTTTTTTCATTGTCAAGCGATTCAGAAGAGATGACTTCATTAGTAGTCTGTGATATGAAAGTGATAAACCTCCACTTTTTTAGCACCTGTTCTGTTACTACACATGCCCCTCCATGTGTTTTTCCTATGGTTTTCTCCTAAATCATTGTCACTCAAAGTGCCGTTCAAGAGCCAGCTGGACTCTGAACTATTGAAAATTGGGCCAAGCATAAGACTGGCAAGCAAATAATTAGAAATTTTTTTCACCATTTTGACATTGCCATGGTACTTTTACTGTATTTTATAAAAGTACTGAAGTATCAGCCTCCAAAATATCAAGAGGAGAAGCAACTGGGTTCCTTGTTATAAGCAGCATGTGGAGTCCTGTCCTAGAGAGTTTATTATTTCTACTCCATCTTTAGCTCTCAGCCTCAGTGTCACTTTTCCAGAAAGCCTTCTTTGACTGCTCAGACTAAGGTCACCCCACCTCCCCACCTTCCCTGGTAATACAGGCCTTGTCCTTCACTCATTCAATTTCAGTTTTACAGAGGGTAGGGGTACACAGTTGTGCTGATGTCTGTTTCCCCCAGTGGATATCTCTATGAAGGCATAGATCGTTTCTTTTTTTACTCACCATTGCATTCCCATTGCTTGGCACATATCAGAGACTTAACGGATATATGTTGAATGAGTGATCTTCCCATGTTCTTCTTACCCTTGGATCCTCTCTTCCCTTAATCCCAGAGCTCTCAGTTCTGGTCCTGCCTCCAGCTGTGACAAAGATAACATTTCTTTCCTTTAGATACCTTGCTGGCTTTCCTAAATCTGTTTCCCTGTAGGTTCTCAGCAAGTTAGAAACATGTTCTTGCTTTAGTGATAGAATATCATTGCATACACTGTCTCACAAAACTACAGTTTTGCAATTTAGTGTAATTTATAGAAGGACTTTTAGTTTTGAGAAATGAGAAGTCATAGCTACGTTGCTCAGCTACCATCAGTGTGCAATGGTTAGTGAAATATAATATAATCTGTTTTTTAAAAGATGAATGATAGTTTATTCTCACCCTGGGAGTTGATAGGGGAGCTGCAGAATCCGTTGAACTTCCTTCTGAATCTCCTCTATGAGTTGATGTGATTTTAACATTGATAATTTTAAGTCTTAAAGCAAAATTGCCTTCATGAGCTACAATATAAACTTCATAGTTTCTCATTTTAGAAATTGGCAGAAATTTGAAATTTAAATTAGAACCGAATCCTAAAATTTAAAAAAAAAAAAAAAGAAAATTTAGCCTGATACATCATTACCATGCTATAATTAATTAATTTGTTGAGTGCCACTATTTTCTTTGGTCCATTCTAATCATGTTTTTTGCTGGGGTGGTGGGGTGTTGTCATTCAGATGGAGCATCGACATCGGAAGAAGGACACCCCAGTGCAGGCCAGCAGTCACCATCTCTTTGTCCAGATGAAGAGCCTTATGTGTTCCAACCTGGGAGAGGAGCTGGAGGTCATCTTCTCCCTCTTTGACAGTAAAGAGAATCGACCAATCAGGTAACTACATATGGAGATACTACCTATGGAGATAATGTTAGGATGGTAGAAATTTGTGATTGGCACATTTTAAGTTCTGTGACTTTTGTACACTTTTACTCTGTCAGTCTCAATTTTCTCATCTGTAGAACTCTATACAGGCTATAGAATTGTAATAATTGACATCAAATGGAAGCATGGCCTAGGTTTCAAGTCTGTTATTTGTTTTGTTTGTTTTGCATTGGAAATACAAGGAAGGAAGTTTCTTTACAGTCTGAAATTGGTTTGCTTATCAAGGTCAGCACATTTTTTTCTTTCAGTTTTCTGTAAACAATTATATTATTCTTATCCTGTTTGGATCAGTTGATATCAAGAGATAGTTAAATACTCATAAATCTTTTCAGTAAAGTTTCAGAATTATGAAATGATGATGAGTTTTCATACTTTTTTCTCAGTTATCTGAGTCTTACCTGTTGTAGTGCTCCTTTGGAAAATGTTAATTTTAACTTTTTTTTTTTTTTTTCGGTGTTAGAGATTGAACCCAAGGCTTTGTGCATACTAGACAAATGTTCAACCACTGAAGTACATCAACAATGCAAATTTTTAATTTTTCGAAAAAAAAATCATAGTGAAGCATATAGCATACCATCTTTTAAGTTAAAATTTTTACATTTAAATCAAGAATTAAAATTAAGTCTCTCAAATCACACAGAGTTATCTTCATTGTACCATGCTTTAAAAATTACTTATGAAAATAGTACTGGTAATTTTAAAGAATTCTGAGCCCTGCACATTGTTTCATAAACATAAAATAATTGTGGAATATTTCTTTTCTCTTAAAATTGGTTTCTTTTTCTAGGAAGTATATATCAGGGTTTTTAAAATACATTTATAGTCATAAAATCTTTGGTGAATTAATTTCTGTTAGTCATTTTTTACTGGTAAGTGTACATTTTATTTCATGACAATGGATAGTGTCCGTAGAATTTAGAAGGTGATGTTTTGGTTCGGTAAGGACAGAATTTATGAGGTGTGGAAATAACAATGGCAATACCACCTAAAAATCTACCTTATACACTGCTGGAGGAAATGAATCAGAGTGTTAGAAGACCTTTCTCCCTTCACAAATCAGCACATTAAAAAGGGAAGTTAAGGGTTTGAAAGACTGATCCAAGTTATAATTCAGCACTTTTTAAAAAACATGTGACAGATTATTTGGAGATAAATCATCTCTGCTGAAGTATATATGGTTTATGAGTAGAGTTTGACAAAATCTTTGTAACATTGTTTGCATATAATATGGTTTCTTTAATATTTTTAACAAACTGTACAAACTTAAAAGGAACAACGATGGCACTCTTGCTCATTCATTCCTTGAAGCTGAAGTCTTTGAGAAACATAAATTCTCTTTTGCCACTAATGTTCTAATTGCATTGATGTCAGATTATATTAATTTAGGGTTACTATTAACTTATTCCTGAGTTTTGTCTGGTTATAGACATTTTCAAGTTTTCTAAAACATTCTATATATTCATTGATTTCCAGAGCTCTCCTTTTTACTTGGTGAAAATAACTCCCAAAATATTGTCTTTGTGGTCCCCAAGTTCAGACCAGGAGTGGGCCCCTTTTCCTGGTCTGTAATGTGCTTGGTCTTTGGTGCTCCCCTACCTCCTTCCTCTCTTCCCCTGTCTCTAATATCCCACCTGACCTTTGAAGACCCCAGGAGAAATGAAGCCTGAAGTCCTCTTTGCCTCTGCTCACGGAGTTGGTTCACCTGTGGCTCTCACCTCTTAAACTCACAATCACTGTACAGGTGTTTGGCAAAAGAATGAATCAGAATCAAAACATAAGCTTACTCTGTATTGGAAACCATCTCCAATTTAGCTTATCCACATTTCTAAGGCCTCTGACAGTCACTGATTGTTATCTCTCAGGCTGAGTTCCAAATCTTGTCAGGAGTAAGTTTGATTCCAACTGCCAACCACACCAGGGCACAGTCCCCTTGTGAAGAGGTACAGGGTGCACATTCTCAAGACAGGGCTTGATTCCTGTCCCTGGAGTTGATGGCACCTCCATAGTCCTGACCTGCCAAGGCCAAAGTCTCGGCTTGGCACCAGAATCACGAGGCACTCACAGCTTTGTAGGTTCAAACAGCAATTCTTTATTCCAGCTCTCACACCACCTCCACACAGGTCCAGGGGCCAACGCGTTCTCCTGTCTCCCGCACCAACCACCTACTCCACGAGGCTCTCTCCAAATCCCATTTTAATCTCACGAGAACTCAACGGGAACAAGCAGCAGGAACACCCTAATCCCAGCAATAATCTTCAACTTCCAACTTCCCTAAAACCCATTATCTTAAACTGGCAACGCCTTAAACTCAAGGAGCCGGTTACTTCCTCAAACCTGATCAGCTCTAAACCAGGATCTGCCTTGGTCCTTGAGCAAGGTCACCTCATTAAAGCATGCATGCAATGTCCCATCAAATGTCCTCTAAGCAGCATGGGGTACGCTTGGCAAGGAAATTTCGATGCGTCATTCCTACTTGGTAATGGCCCTCAGCACTGACCTCTTTATGCACCCCTACCTTTCCCTCCATCCTAGAACTGATAAGGATCCTTGCTTCCTTCAGTGTGCCTCACAGAGATAATGAATATAAAATGTCTGCATCATCTCAGAAGAAAGTGTTATACATGTAAGATGTGATTTTAGGGTACTGTTAGATTTCTTCTTATGTGGGTATTTTTAAATCATGTCTTTCTCTTTTCAACTTTTTATTTTAGAATTATACATTAAAAAGGTAGGACAGTATGAGGCACGCTGATATACCCACCACCAGCTTCAACAGTTATCAGCTCAGGGCTATTCTTAATTATATCCCTGACCAAGCCTCCTCTTTGCCCCCAGATGATTCTGAGGCAAATTCCTAACCCTCTTACTATTTTTAAATATAAGTATTTCAGGGTATATCTCTAAAAAAGGGAACTCTGAAAGAAATTGCCACCTAAAAACTCAATATTATCTTGATATCATCAAATATCTGATTCCTGTCAGTATTTACATTTCCCCTGTTGACTCATAAATATTGTTCACAAATTATTCAAATCAAGAACCAAATCAGATCCATACATTGCAACTGGTTGATTAAATCTTATAAGTCACATTTTCCCTATTGCTTCCCTCTTCCGCTCCCTCATAAGTTCCTTGTATTTTATTTGTTGAAGAAATGGGAGTCATTTGATTTCTTGTTTTCTGATAGTTCAGAATCTAATTCCAAACAATGAAAACAGTGAACAAAAAAAAAAAAATGGTATAGTTAAGTGAATGCTTCTGTTGTTATATAGCGTCATTATTGTTTCAGTTTACAAAAATAAAATGCAATCTAAGTGAGATCTTTATGGCATTGCCCTGACCATTAATCACAGGAAGTTACCTCATCTAAGTACAGATGGAGGGGCCAACATTTGCAAGACCTGTAAAGGAGGGAGAAGGAAAGGAGGATGTTTATTTCTCTTATGAGGCAGACAACTAGTTAAGACTTTGGTTTTTTAAACCTCCCTCCTTTAAGAAGCAAACAGCCATCTGTCCAACTTTGCTTTAAGTGCTCTAAATATACTGTTATAAGCATCAGTTTTAAAGGTGAGGCAACTAATGCACAGAGTGATTAGGTAATGTGCCTAATGTTCTGTAAGTGGCAAGAGGTAAAACAGAGCCACAAATCTTGTAGTCTGGTCCCAGAGCCCTGTCATCTTAACCTGTACATTGTAGGCCTCTTCAGAATTATTCCTTAAATGCTTTAGTGTTTGTCTGAAATTTTCCATAGTTGGACAGGATTTTATTGACCAGAATGAGAGTCATAGTCTTAATAAGAAATTATTATAAACTAATGATAATGGCAATACTGGAATCAATATAAGCCCTTAGGAATAGTCCATGCTCTAGAAATTGGTTCTTAAAATTGAGTCCTCAAAATATTTCAAGAAAAGCAAAGTAGGGCTGGAGGTGTAGCTCGGCCATATAGTACTTGTCTGGCATGCTTAAGGCCCTAGGTTGGATTCTCAATACCACAGATAATAAACAAACAAACAAGAAAGAAAAGTAGCATCAGCTCTTGCTACCCGACTGTGATCAAAATCTTAGATTCCATTCTTTCAAGTGTCAAATATACAAAAGGAGCAATGTGTAAAAACCACAAAATTGTGAAGCATATAATATCTCCTCAGGTACCAGGAAAATAGAATAGATAGATAGATAGATAAAATTAAATAAACAACAACCCTTAAATCATCATCAAAGCCAGGCCATAGTTGGAAAATTGGTGCTAATTTTATCTTCAAACAGTTACTGGCTCTGCCTGAAGTTGGCCTAGATTGTTAGGCCGCTGCTGCATGGTATGGATACCTCTTGTATGAAGTATGAGTAAAGTCAGGTATAGTCTCACAGCATCCTGCTGGCGCATGCCTGCTGCAGACCTCTTTTCCACTTTCCTTCCCCCAGCTGTTTGTGTAGCATCACCAGCTCAGAAGGCCAAGGATGAAGGTCCCATAAGATAGGGGCTTTAGGAAATAGACTAGAGTCTGGAGACAGAGATTAGCCATGGGCCAGAGTGGGCCAGCTATTCGATGATCATTAAAAATAACTCACTTCTGGGGCTGAGGATATATCTCAGTTGGTAGAGTGCTTGCCTTGCATGTATAAAGCCCGGGGTTCAAACCCCAGCACCAAAAAAAAAAAAAAAAAAAAAAAAAAAAAATCTGTTTATTTGAGCTTTGTACAATCAGGGCTCAAGTTCTTTCTATAAAAGTTAATTGTTAGTTAAAAAAAATTAGTTTTCCAGAATGAAGTTTCACATGAATGAAATGTTTCTAGTGAATATTTATCTGGTCAAAATTTGATTTTACCAGTCTGCAAAGGTATAGCCAGGAAAGGCAGGGAACCAGTTCTCTGTAATTTTATTTTAGACATTCTATAGCCTTTGTATAATGTTTCTTATGTGCCAGGCACTGTTCTAAGCTCTTTTA